CCCCTCTCTCTCTGTGGAGCCTGTGATGATTCATAAAAATAGATAAGGATCTGAGCTTTCCTAGACATCTTGGCATGTTGGATTCTCCCTGGTTTAAAGCCCCTGTAGATCAGAACAACAGCCCCAAATTTCAGCAATCTGAATAACAGTCTTCAGAAAGAGAAAAACACTGTGAGCCAAGGCAGAATGCTTGTCAACACAGTATAGCTTTATTAAATAAATGATGTAAGAAACAAAGGGCTGTCAGTTTGTTGTGTCCTAGAGCAGCCATGACCCTGAAATCTTTTTCAAGTTACCACTCAGTCTAGTATACGGGTATACCCATCCTCCATGGCGGAAGACTTGCCTACACAGTGTAATCATTTAAGCAATTTTGTAAGCACTCATCTCTGGGTGTCATCACCAGAGACTCCAATGTCATGATATAGGGTGAAGCCATGGGTGCTAGGCTTTTAAAAGTTCCCTAGGTAACTCTAATTAGCATCTAGAGTTGAGATCTATTGGTGTGAAGGAATCTTCTCACGGTTCCATGCCTGTAGAGAATACTTCCTAGGTAAGGGATTATCTAAGACATTCATACATACATATGAAGTAGGGGTTCTAGGTTGGAGAAGAATTTGACAGTGTACCACAAGCATAGTCAGCCTAATATTCTCTTAATATTGAGGCTGTATAAATAAGAACAATATATGTGATGGGGGGTATAGCTCAATTGGTGGAGTGCTTGCCTCACCCAAGGTCTTAAGTTTGACTTCCAACACCATATAAGGCATGGTACCACACATCTGTAATCCCAGAAGTTAGGAGGTAAAGATAAGAGAATCAGAAGTTAAAGATCATGCTTGGCTACACTGTGAGATTGAGGCCTGGGATACAAAATACCCTGTCTCAAGAAAAAAATTAAAGTCTGGGCACTCTCTAAAGGAAGACATACATATCGCTATTTGTTGGTGTGTAGTGCGGTGATAAGGCACAAGTCCACGGGGATAAGTAAAATGATAAGGCATAAGTGGCTAGAGGCTACATGGTCTCCATTCAAAGACCACCTCTAAGAAAGTTAATTAACCTCTTCAGACCTTGATTTCTTTACATATAAAACAAAAAGTAACTGTTTATGGTAGCACATGCCTTTAAGTCAGAACTCGGAAGACAAAAGCAGGAAGACATGTGAGTTTAAGGCCATCCTAATCTATATAGTGAGTTCCAAGTCTACTAAGTGAGACCTCAAAAAAAAAAAAGTAAGTACTCTGGTTCCTACAATCCACTGTGAGACTACAACTCACAGAATCAACTAAGAAAGACTCACAGGGGCTCACAGAGACTGAAGCAAGCATCAGGGAGCCTGCATGGGTCTGACCTAGGCGTTCTGCATAAATGTTATGGCTGTGTAGCTGGGTGTTTTTGTGGGACTCCTAACAGTGGGAGTTGGGGCGTCTCTGACTCTTTTACCTGCTCTTGAGATCCTTTTCCTCCTACTGGGTTGTCTCCGTGAGTCTTGATATGAGGGTTTGTGTCTGGTCTTATTGTAACTTGTTATGCTGTGTTCGGTTGATATCCCTGGGAGGCCTACTCTTTTCTGAAGAGAAATAGAGGAGCAGTGAATCTGAAGGACTGAGAGGGTGGGAGCCATGGAGAGAGGGGAAACTAAGGTCGGAATGAAATATGAGAAAAGAATAAATATAAAAAACTTAAAAGTAAGTACTCTAAAATGATTCTTTATAGAACTGTCAAATAAGTGCATTTAAAGGACTTATTGTCCAGTATATGATAAAAGCTCAGATCAGAATAAGGTGCTTTTAGCTTCTCTGAAATATCTGGGAGCTGAGCTTACAGAAAACTACCTGATCATCTAGCTCTTAAAATCTTTCTACCATCTTTCTACATCTCATCATCATTGCTTCCCAAACAAGACCTGAACAAGGACAACACCAATAGATATGACAACATGGAAGGGGAAATTTTATGGGGCTTCAGCCCTAGACAAAGAACTACAGTCAACTAAGGAATTCTGAGAGCAGGGTTGTGGGGTGGGAGGAAATGGTGTTCCCCAGGAAAGAGCACACCAGTTGGTTGTCCAATACCAAGTAGTCAGCCCCTTAAAACATACATACAAGTAATTTTATACAGACTGAGAAGTTATATATTTAAGAATACATTGTGTGTGTGAGACAGCGAGGGAGAGAGAGAGAGAGAGAGAGAGAGAGAGAGAATATCAACAATTAAAGAAATAGAACATTTCAGAACGAGAAAGGGGGTGCATGGAAGAGGTTGGAAGGGGAAAGAGGGGAATTGATGTAATTATATGTAATTTCAAAAATAAAATTTTTTGAAAACTAATAAAGTATTTTTAAATATCATGAGGGATCTGCCTTGTGATGAAACAGTTGGCACCCTAAGAACCTTGATCACAGCATCACCAATATCACTCAGAATCGACCATTATGGAAGATTGATATTATCCATTTACAAAAATATGAAAATGATGGCACCAACATTGCCAAACCAAAGTCATCCTCAGCAGATAGCATTTTATTAGATTACATCTAACAACTTCATATAGGATGACAATTCACCAGGTACCTCTGAATACATTTTCTAAAATGATTACATCAAAGTATCTACCAATAAGGTAAATTGCTTAAATGTATGCACTATAGAAATAATTTATTAAGATTTTTAAGCCACACTGAATGCAAATGCTACCTGTAAAATTTCCCTGGATAAAACCATCAGGGCCAGAGGCTCTCCACTAGACTGTGTGTAGCAAGATACCCATAATTGAATTCTGAAGAACATATTAGCTCATCCCACATCCCTGGGGAGTTGGGCCTGACTTCTATAATTAAGACATATCTCCTGGTTAGATTCGTTAACTAGAAAAGAGTATCAACCCTCTCTCCTACTTAGCTGAGTGTCAGGATGCATGCATCTGCCCTAATTGGACAATGGAGAATTATCTGCACTCACATTTTTGCCTAAGAATGTATTTCCTTAACTCTTGTGCTTCTAAATGGTTATCAAAGGTCAATTAGGGAAATCGATATTCATAAATAATTTCTTCAAAGACACTCTGTTCGTTCTCCTAATGGTTCGAACTGAATTCTTAGAAAATCAAAAACCCCACTTGCTGCTAACCTAGACAAATCCAAGCAGCAGTATTTTGGGGGTGTACAATGTTTATGCATATAGTACAAAACCTACTGATACTAATAAAGAGTGACTTTTATAAGAGATTACTATGTGTGTAATCGTATCTGGCTTTTACAATGACCCTTTAAGTGGATTAAATTATTTCTTCCAATTTGTAGGCAAAAAAAATAATAAACTGAGTCATAGAGGTCACATATTGGTAAGTTACAAAACCAGGACATGGATCTGATCCTAGAACTCCAGTCTACCATATGCTTTACTAAAATGATTTAATGATCCCCTTCTCAAACCCTGGATAAGGAAAGCCATGTAGAATAACTTCATCATTCACTCACTTCTGAAAGACCATGGTAAAGGATGTCTGGGGGCAGGGGGGGTCTGTTTCTTTTAAGTAGCCAAACAGACTGAAGCAAACATATCCCATCATTGGACCTGACTACAGAATCATAAATCTCAATGAACTTTAGATTTTTGTTCTCAAACTGGAATTCTAAAAGTGAAAGTGTCAGAACCCCACACCTGAACCCCATGAGTGACCAGTTATCTCCAAAGCAGGCTGTTCATCTCAAAGGGACTGGTCACAAGAGATGTCAGCAGCAGAGGTGGCATGGCATGGATATTATCCTGTAGGGAAGTGACAGTCAGCCTGAACTTCAGACTATTGATTCCGGAGGGTTGATAATGAAGTTAGTCATGAAATCGCCCCAATTCATCCAAACCAAAGGTAGCTTTATTGACCCATGGGTTTGGGAAGTTCAGACATAAATTTTATTCTAGAAAAGGTCAGACTCTGAGCCCCGTGTAGTCAGTGTTCCATCACTCTAGGTTGCCTAAACAAGACCTGCATAATGACAACACTAGTTAACATGCAACATGGACAGAAGAAATTCACAAAGCCCCACCCCTATATGAATAGCTATAGGCAACCAGTGGCTGCTGAGAAAAGGAGAGTCAGTTTTCTTCAGGGGTGTGCCACCTGATAGGTTATCCATGTCCCAAGTGGCCAACCCTCAACAATGTACAAGCAACACTAAATGGAACCAGTAGGATGGATGGATGGATAGATGGATGGATGATAGACAGATAGATAGATACATACATACATGCATACATACATGATAGATACATAGACAGATACATCATAAATACATATATACATAGATGATAGATATTGTATGTATATAATGTATGTGTATGCATATAAAACTAATAAATAAGAGGTCAAGACACAGGAAGATTTGGAGAGGGAGGGATAGAAATGAGGTAAATACAACATTCATATATAAAATTTTAAAAACAAAAAAAATTACAAATTACACTCTTCTTTCTGTGTGCTTTCTCATCTATGTGAGGGTGATGGATTATCCAAAATTCTTTCAATTAAAAAATATATGTAAAAAAGCTAGACATTGGTGGCACGGGCCCTTAATCCCAGCACTCAGGAGGCAGAGGCAGGGGATCTCAGTGAGTTTGAGGACAGCTTGGTCTACAGATAGAGTTCCAGGACAGCCAGGGGTGTTACAATATATATATATATATTTCATATATATATTTCAAGTACATATACATATTCAAGTACAATATATATATATTACATGTACATATAGTATATGTATAAATAAAAACATGTGTAATTCAGATTCTCTTTGATGAAGATTCCTAGTATGACGCACATGCTGCCAAGCCATATACTCAAATTCCATGCTCTGATGGAGAAAGGCAGAGCAGGGAAGTGAAAGACCATATTTACAGAATAGAACTACAGCATATGTTGGGGTTAAAAGGTCTATAACCAGAGACAAGGAAGAGAATGTAATCCCAGGAGGTGTCCCAGGGCTCACAACAGTAGGTCAGGGCCACAGCTGGGGCTTGATAAACACGTCACCCTGTGCATTATACTTCAGTTCCTGCCAGTTCAAAACACTGGGGCTGAGTGTCCCACCAACATAAACTGTGTTTATCTGTTCTGGAGATAGCACAATGTCCCACATGTTCACATCTCCAATGTCTCCCACCAAAGACTGCTTTGCATCAAAACCACCACCATATGAGTCCTGCTCCTGCCCCAGGATGATGCTTGCATCTGTCCCCACAGTGTAGCCCTTCTGCAGAATTCTCCGCACCTTGGGTTTCCCATCAATCCATAACTCTGAAATCCCTGTAGCAGACTCCCAGATGGCACAGATGTGTGTTGGAGCTTCAGGAATTTCTGAAGCCTTGAATAGTACTTCAGGCCCACCCACTCCAACAGTATACCCTCTATCCTTAGACCAAAATATGAGGATGTCATTAGGGTTTTTCTTGGTAGCATAAGAGAAAATACTGAAGCCACGGGTTGTGCTCAGTTCTGTGTAGATGTGGAGACACACAGTGAAGGCTTTCAGTGGCTTCTTTGTCTGTGCTTCCAGGGACACATAGGAATTGTCGGACTCTTTGGGAAATACGAAGGCCATTTTAGACATATCTGTGAGACAGAAAACCAAGAAAGTGAGTAGTTTCTCAGATAACAAAGATTCATCCCTCACGAGTAGAGTTTGGGATCAAGAGACATGTGACCTTTCCTAGGTTACACAAATATGCATCTATACCCGATGCTGTTTCTTGAATTCCATATGTAAGATATTAGGCTCTCATCCATCCCCCCCATCAGATCTTTATAATAGATCCTACCTTTCTGGGCAAAAGTCTGAGAGAGGCTGATCAGGACCAGTGAGCACCACAGGAGCTTCTCCATGGCTGTTGAAGCTGCTGGACCTGGATTTCCCCACTAAGAAGACACAGTTTTTTCTGAAAAATCAACGATGAGAGGTCCTGGATCTCTTTCCTCAGTCCCAGCCCAACGTTGGATTTATAACTATAGCAGAAGGAGAGGCTGTACCACTTTGTAAATGATTTCCTAACACTGTCTCTTGGGGCAAACGTCAGACCACTGGGAGGAAGGGAAGCCAAAATCATTCTGGAACAGAGAAATCAATGTAGGTTATTTATTACAAACTCCTGTGACCACTGAATCACCAGTTTCTTTGAGACAGGAAAAATGAGGAAGCTTCCCAAGGCTCCACTTTGCCTATCTAGGCTAAGAAAATAATGGGAAATCTTCATTTAATAGACAAGCACTCGTGTGTGTGCACACGATGCTCTCATCTCCAGCATCTGCTAAGCACTTCCGGAAGCTGTTCTCTTACACTTTGGAAAATGAAGAAAATGAGCATTCCATTCCCAGCACCAAGAACAAATCTTTCTTGGCCAACAGCGTAGACTTATCAGAGACCTTTGACAGAACGCAATGCATGCCCTAGCCCAAATGTACCACTATGTTCAATTTCATGAAACACTGTTGTTTGTTTGTTTATGTGGAAGCTTCATAGAAGAGTCAGGATGATTGGTTGTTTGCTTCTTTTGTTAAGAAATCTCATTGGCCCTCCACATAGCTTCACTATAGTTGAGCAGTTCTATAGCTCTGTACTTAACTCAGTCTTGTAGTTGAATGCTGTGTCCCTTCACCTTGCTCCTGAACCCCTTACAATCTTATCCATTCTCTCATTCCATTCATGAGTCACCCTCTAATTAAGAAATTGGAGAAGAAATACTGTATCCCCTGAAGCAGAAAACCATTCATTCAGTAAGAATACCAGTCTTAGTTTGGTGCATTCCCATCTTACCAAACACTAGATTTCTCAGTCTTAGCTACAGGCCAGAATGAGGGCTGGACAGGATAGGGACAATCTCTACATTGTGCCCTTTAAAGTGAACATATATGGCTTCCCTTTCACTTCTTCCTTCCCCTCTGGCTAGCATTCATCCACGCTGATAGGAGATAAAGCAGTCACCTTTGTCTGACAAAGGGCAAGCTGCATGTTGAGGTTGGCACAGCAACAAGATAGACTGAACCTTTAATTTTTATTATGAAGCCATAGTATCAGCCCTTGACTATCAACCTGAATATTTGCTTAACGAATATGCAGTCTTACACTCTGTTAAATCACTATGAATTTGGTCTTTTTCATATTGAAACTTGGTTGACACCACTTTATATTTTTACACTGTAAAATCTACCAGCCTTCCTGCCTCCCCTATAAGAAATAAACAATTTCTCTATATATCTTAGGTCAACCTTGCACCTTTGCCACAGGTCCAGATGGTCCATCACCTAATGAACTTTGCTCCCATGTGCTTCTTTCTGCATTATGACACATCATTAATTTTGTCATCACTCCCTCAAATACCAACACTATAATAAACATAACATTTTAGAGAAAGAAGGTAAAGAAAAAGGGAAAAGGAAGGAAAATAGGAAACTACAATCTCCATTGTTCCATCTATTCTTCCTTAACCCCAGGATTTCAGGTTCTTATCTCCATCACTTGAGAGGAAAATAACATAAACATCTCTCTCTCTCTCTCTCTCTCTCTCTCTCTCTCTGTCTGTCTGTCTGTCTCTGTCTCGCTCTCTCTCTCTCTCTCTCTCTCTCTCTCTCTCTCACACACACACACACACACACATACACACACACATTAAATTTAATAACATTTTCTGGGTTTTATCTTATGCAACAGCTGACAACATTCAACACAGTTCCTAACTCTTCCTTGAATACATGCACATCACTTTTAAAGTGAACAAATTTGAAAGCCTTAAGAAGTGATTTTTGGCTCCACCACCCCAAGTTTGACTCCCAGTTATTGCTAAGAGACAGACAGAGCCTCAATCACATTGAGACGTTGAATTCATCTGTTGCCAGTGCCCTTACTGGACTCTGATCTTCAAAAGTGGGTCATCCACAAAGCCCCTCTTCTTCATTTACACATTTCAGTTGGTTTATGATACTTACATCTCAAAGAGCTTGGGAAAATAGAAATACCTTTGTAGCAAAACCCTGGACCCAAGACCTTGATTTCAAATTGATCATCACTTGCCGTGAAACATCCTGGTAGCCTTACATAGGAAATCTGCCAGAAAAGGATTTAAACTGAGCCACAAAAACAGAAGGGAGAGACTCAAGGCTGTCTTACTTTCCTTTCCTGTTTTTATGATTTCAAAGATACCCTGACAAAAGCAACTTGGGGGAGAAAGGATTTATTCTAGTTCACAATTCCAAGTTACAGTCTATCATGAGAGGAAAATAACAGAGGTTGGGGTTTGAGGGAGTTGGTCATATCACATCCATAATCAGGAACAGAATAATGGATGCATGCATGCTTGTTCTCAGATCATGTTCTCCACTCTCACACTGTGCAGTATCCCCTGCCTAGAGAATCTGCCTCCCACGGTGGGCAATCTTCCCACCTCGGTTAAGGTAATCAAATCCCCATAGACCAACCTAATCTAGATAGTCCTTTACTGAGACTTTCTTCCCAAGTGACTCTAGAGTGTATTAAGTTGACAATTAAAACTAACCATTATAGAGACCAAAAGAATAATATAAGTCTTGGTCATCAACATCTAAATTTTATTTTCTACTACATCATACACAAACTTCAAAATATTTTTGAACCCCTTTAACCATAATTGTTAGTTTTAGTGAATCAATGTCTTTACAGTCCAAAATTTTATTGATTTGCAAGTCAAAGTTCTATAGATTGTACCAATTCATTTTTTACTCATTCTAGCCAATTTAAGTCATTAATATAGCATTTACTTCATATTCCTTACTTCCTAGTCACCATTAGAATTATGATTCTATTTTACCAGAAAAATTATTGCATTTGTACCCATGATTATTATTATACTATTTTCACTACTTATATAAAGTGCTTAATAAAATAATCTATAAAAACATTGCTACTAAGGTCATTTTACTTTAAGCAAATGAGAGACTTTGAAGGTTTATAAATAAGGAAATGATATACTCAGATAAGTGCTTTACAGTTTTTAATGAAAGAACTATAAGGGTTGCAGTCAAGTAAGAGAGATTATAAATTCATAGACTTAATGGACCTTAGATCATCAGTTTTACCATGACAAATATTAGAAATTGCTGCTAAAGATCAGGGACTAATTCATTAGCCAGACTAGTTATGGCAAATGTGACAGGAGTTGGACCAGTACCACTGATGAGAATGGAAATCTGACCAAATATGGAGTCATCGGAGAGCAGCATCAGAAGACACTTAGCTAGCACTTTGATATCAAGCATTATGTGAGCGAGGCCAAAACAGCATATTGACTCACACCTAGATCAGTGGGTTCCACTTATTTGGTGATTAGTATCTAACCCAAGCTAAGTCTCCAAGGTTAAAAAATGCACATAGACTGATACAAATAAGAAAGAGTAAGTCTATTATGAAAAAATGAGAAAAAAAACATACCCTTTTATTTATGGGTAATAGCTCTGCCTTCTGGAAAGACAACTGATACCAAAATTGGCCCAGATTTGGCGCTCAGTTGCATTGTTGAGTGGATAAATGAAGGCACAGCGGGAAGAAGAAGTCACAGAAGGCAGATTTAAGCCAATACCATCTTCCCACTTCAGTTCCTACAAATGACAAAAAACGTATTTCTAAAAATCAGTCAATATGGTACAGGGCTGGGGGAGAAGAGTTTCGTTGGCAAAAACAAAAACAAGTTCTCTGAAATCCAAAAAGCAGGAAGCATGCATCAGTAGAATGTATCATAACCCAAAACATATGCAGGGAATGTTTACTGTGAAAATGTGTTGGTGTACCCCAAAATGAAAGATAATGGAAATGAGCGGTAGACAACTAGGCAGCAGTATTGATCAGGGCTCTTGGGCCATACCTCACTCCCTTTCCCAGAGTCCTTTGTTGACAGCCTGGAGCAGGAAGAATCCTTTAGCCCAACAAGTAGGATATTGCCCCAAGAGTTTGTAGATATCCAGAAGGTTCCCAACTCTGATGATAAATTACTGATATGCCCTGACAGTATTTCCTGCTCATTTCTCATAGTTCCTAGAGATAGGTCACAGAAACAGTAAGAGCACCCACAGGCAAACTAGAAGGCTTAATGCTATAGAGAGCACCTCACTTAAAATATATAGATATACCTACTTTAGAAATTTCAGAGACAATGGTAAAATCTGGTAATGGTGATGGATGCCAGTAATCCCTGCAATTAGGAAATAGAGGCAGGAAGATCAATTATTCAAAGTCATCCTCTACTACATTGCAAGTTCAAGGCTAGCCTAAGCTATATGAGACTTCCCTCCAAAAACAAGAGTAAAGAAGAAATGTATAATTAAGATATTCTGGTTATATAAAGCATGAACAAGCGAATAGCAAACTTTTTTAAATTTTACATTTTTTTCTTTTTCAAATTTCTTTTTTCATCATCTTTTATTTATCTTACATACCAACCACACTCCCCCCACCCCCATCCACTCCTCCTTCATCTTCACTTAGATGGGATAAGGCTTCCCATGGGAATCAACAAAGCATGGCACATGAAGCTGAGGCAGGACCAAGTTTCTGCCCCCCTTTATCAAGGCTGAACAAGATATCCCACCATAAGGAAAAGGTTCCAAAGAGCCAGCTCATTACATCAGGAACAGGTTCTGGTCCCATTGCTTGGGGACCCACAAAAGACCAAGCTACACAATTGTCACCTAGATACAGAGGACCTAGGCTGGTCCCATGCTGGCTCCCTAGCTGTCTTCCCAGAGTCCATAAATTCCATAAGCTCAGGTTGGCTGTCTCTTTTGGGTTTCCCCATCACTGATCTTGGCGCCCCCCCCCATCTTGTCTATACAATCCCTCCATCCTCTCTTCAACTGGACTC